ATAATTAGATATCGAATAACAAATCACCTGGAAATCATGATCTGATGGGGTCGAACCAGCAGGGAATCGTGGCTTGGACCTGGGTGAATGTGTCCGCAAAGGAGCGGCTGGAGGCGACCAGCTGACAGAGTTTAGTCAGACTTTCAATCCTGGGCAAGACACTGCTGAGTCACCAGGGGGTGAGGGGCAAAGTATTGCCCGGGATCAAACCCTGCAGAGGAGACAGGGAACGGCGCGTAGGACGTCAGTGGACAGCTTCCATCCCGGGGAAGGGTCGCAGGGGGAGCCACGAGGCTCTGGATAGAGCCTAGGTTCTTTAATACCTTTATTAATGATCCGGAACGGGGGGATGAGAAGGGAGGTGGGAAAATGTGCAACAGAGACAGTTATTTAGGTTAGTCAGGACCAGAGACGATTGTGACCTGCCTGAGCCGGGGGTGGGCACCAGGCTGGCAGATGAAATTCAAGGTGGACAATTGCAAAGTAATGCGCATGGGAGGAAACAAGTTCAACTCCCCGGGCACCTGACAAGGGGCTGGAATAACTGGATCAAGCCAAGAAACTCATCACCGTGGGCAGCTAAATGAGACCTTGAGCCAACGTGCCGCTGTGGGCAAGAAGCAGATGAAGTGCTCGTCTGCATGGGGAGGATGCTACGGCGAATATTCAAACACTGCTCTATAAACGGGCCGGGTGGCCCGTCCAGATGCTGTGCGCAGTGCTGGGAGCCCCTCCCCCGCCCCCCCCCAGGACAGTCCGATTCGTGGATCCCAAGGCCAGAAGGGACCATTGTGATCACCTGGTCTGATCTCCTGTACAGCCCAGGCCACAGACCGTCCCGAACTAGTTCCTGTGAGCTTTTAGGGAAACATCCAATCTGGATTTCAGAATGACGCATGATTACGAATCCACCACGACCCCGGGTAAATTGTTCCAACAGTTAATTACCCTGCCTGTTGCACCTTATTTCCAGTCCAAATTTGTCTCGCTTCAGCTTCCAGCCCTGGGATCTTGTTACACCTTTCTCTGGCAGGCTGACGAGCCCTCACCTGTCAAATTTCTGTTCCACGCGTACAGACAAGGTGGGGGAGGAAAGATCTTTTATTGCACCAACTTCTGTTGGGGAGAGAGACGAGCGCTTCTCCACGTGTATGTACTTACAGATGGGGATCAAGTCACCCCGTAGCCTGCTCTTTGTTCAGCTAAACCAGTGATTTCAAACGTTTCTCCTGGTGACCCCTTTCACCCAGCAAGCCTCTGAGTGTGACCCCCCTAATATATTTAACACCATTATAAATGTTGGAGGCAAAGCAGGGTTTGGGGTGGAGGCTGACAGCTCGCGACCCCCCATGTAATAACCTAACGATCCCCTGAGGGGTCCGGACCCCCAGTTTGAGAACCCCTGAGCTAAACAGACTGAGCTCCTTGAGTCTCTCACTAGAAGGCAGGTTTTTGGAATAGAAACATTTAAA